AAGGTTTTCCAGAAAAATCAGCAATATAGTCTTTTCTCAAGCTAATTAGGTCAGGGAGCCTTCTGAAGCCAGGGACTGAATCTTAGTTGTCTGGTATCTATCCTTTGTAGAGTATGAAGTTCCTTGAGTACCAGACGTGATATGAGAAAGCAATATCTCTAGCTCTGCCTGCCACCCTTCCCTACCCCTCCAAGGAGTGGGTTAGTCTGGGGCAGGGAAGGGTGGCTCTCCAGAGTTCAAGGAGACATTCCACAGATAATCACTCCCTTTGCATTAATTAACGCAATGACAAGGGCCTTCAGCATTAGTCTCACTCTGCTCACTGGAGCCTGGCTCAGACAACAAACTGGATAGAACAGTATACAAAGCGGCATAGCATAGGGGGTAACTTATCATCTTTGGAGCCAGACTCCCCGGGACTAAATTCTGACACATCTACCTATCAATTATGTGACCTTGGACAAGTGACTTTACTTCTCTCCATCTTGTGAAATGGATAATAGATACCCTCCTCCCCAAATGTTATTGTGAGGATTGAGATAATGTATGCAACGAGATGACCCTGTCCCTAAAGCATATGGTAAGCATGCAAATGTGAGCTATTACAGGTATCTCTCACTATCTTAACCCTTTATTCACTGCACCCAGGACAGAAACCTTACATGAACCTTTGGTCAACTCCCTTACTTCTCACTCTTGGTACTTGTCATATGAGACTCAAAAAGTAAAGCAATTCACATAACTTGGTATCCCTTATGATCTGAAAACTTGCTATGTGAACCCAGAAACCAAATAGATTTGGATAGAAAGGGATACCCACATTATTTAAATAGAATTGATCATTCTTGCCCTGGCCAGTGTAGCTCAGTTGGTTAGGCGTCATCCTGTGCACCAGGAGATCTCTAGTTTGATTCCTGGTCAGAGCACATGCCCGATTTGGGGGCTGGATCCCCAGTGGGGGTATGCAGGAGGCAGCTGATTGATGCTCTGCTCTCATCTCTCAGCTCTCTCTCTCCCTCTACTGTGCTGTAATTCAGCCAGGGGGAATCTCATCCTATCTAGTTCTTCCTAGCATTAACATAATAAACCCATTCAACAGGGTGTTGCTCTCTCCTTCTTTTGTAAAATATACTTTTATTGATTTCAGATAAGGGAGAGATAGAAAAACATCAATGATGAGAAAAAATCAGTGATCTGCTGCCTCCTGTATGCCCCATACTGGGAATCAAGCCTGCAACCCCAGCATATGCCCTTGATCAGAAAGGAACCCGGGACCCTTCAGTCCGCAGTCTGACACTCTATTCACTGAGCCAAATAGTTAGGGCTAGGTGTTGCTCTTTAAACCAAATCAATCCTAAGGATAATCCAAAAAGGTCATGTGGCTAGAAATTAGACTGGAAACCAAATTAATCTCAAGAGCAAACAAACTCTAGACAGACAGGAAAGGGAAAACAACCTGAACTAGAAATTTTTTATTCATACAAGGTTTCTTTTCAGCAGTTCTAGAATAAAATCCGCAAGTTTTTTCCAGAATTTTAAGGACAGAGCATATGAATTTATTAAAGAGAACATGAGAAAAGTTTTGGTAGCAAGGCTTTTTGTTTCCTTAGCAACAATTCCAAAGACTTAGCCAGAGGCTTAACAGAAAAGGACCCAAGTAAGGGGAGGACTTTTGCTCCCAGAACAATAAAGAAGGTAATGAGCACCAACCTTCTTTTATTAGAAAGTGGCTGGTCCTTGTGAAGCGCTGTGAAAGGAGCAAGTGGACCCAGTCGCGGCTGCCTCTGCCCCCACTGTGCCCAGGAGGTTTGGCGCAGGGACCCCCTAACAAGCCTTATAGCAGCTTGCGTCAACATGGCAGAACACCCTGGAACTAATGATTACCACCACCTAACAGGAAACACAGAGATGTGGTGTCAGATGGGACAGACAGTATACATAAACCCAACCAGCACTCCTACTCTATGGGGTGGGGGAGGATGCAAAACCTTTCAGTGTCCCATTTTACTTAAAACCCTCTTAAGTAAAGCAGCCCCTAACACTCACTCTTCTGCAACTGGAAATGACAATGTTCTCAGTCCAGGCTATGGTAAAACGATGCACATCTGGGGTCAAAAGTCAACAGCAATAACTTACAGGTAGAAATGATGACAATATTCTAGAAAATCAGAGACAGGACCTAAAGCAGTGCTTCTGAAGCTCCTATTTCTTGGCACAGAAAAGCTTAAAAAATGTCACTGTCAACTACAACTCTAGATGAAGGTAAAAGCAAGCCACACAAAAGCACCTGAGTCAAAGATAAGACTTGTTTGGAGCTCGAGGAATAAGGGAGAAAGGAGAATTTCAGGAAGGGTCTTAAAACTATATTAGGTTTATACATCAACCCTGGAAGGCAACAGAAATACAGGGATCATGTTCTTTATTGCATTCAAATAAATTTGGCCTTTCATCTGGAAATAAGTCACCTGGCCAGGCAGGCCATGTGTTTTTTGGGGTTTTTTTGGTGTGGGTTTTTTGTGTTTGTTTTTTTTGCGGGCATCTTGCTTTTATTTCTGAACAATCTCAATGCTTCTCATTACATCTCATAATGTTCGTGGGAAGGGAGAGAACATGGACATCCTGTCTCCCACTGCAGAGCTGATTAGTGGTGAGGATATCCACTGCGAAGGACATGAAGCAGCAAGGCAAGGAGATCCCTTATGCCTGGGATGGGCATGGGCAACAGCCCTCTGGCCTGTGCCTCTCCTCATGGGGAGGTCTCCATGGAATGCCCATGACTCCGGACACAGGCCATCTGTTTTTAAACTTGGAGAAAATAACTGGCATCAAATGGTGCTCACTACCGATTCAGACCAAGGAAATTCCAAGAACAATAGTAGAAAATATTAATAATATTATTTTAGCTCATGGTCACTAGAGGTATGCCATCAACGACAGATTCTTTTAGACAACATGAGGTATGGTGCAGTCACTAAAGAGAGTTTGATTTTAGATGTGTGCTCCAGAGCTTTGGATCAGTGGTAGACCATACTTTAGTTATGCACACTTCAGCAATGTATGTAATCACCCAGAGTCTCAGTCCATTAAAATGAAAAGTGGACACTTGCAAGGTTATTATTGAGATCACATAAAAAGTTTGTACATTCCCAGCACAGTGCCTGACACAGAAAAGCTGCTTTAAAAAGTGGTAGCTATGCTTAATTTAAGAAAATTCAATAGGAAGTGGCCAGTTTCCTATATTTATCTTAAAATTGTACTTTCAACTGGAGACCTTGCTTATCAGTCATCTGTGATTTACACCCTAATATTCAATACTAATGTAACAGATCAAAGTCCAGTCAATCTTCCCAAAGGCGGAAGTCCAAGACCAGGTTCCGAACGTAGAGATCCATCAGACACTCAGAACAAAATATTAGGGTCTATCAAACCATGACTTTCGGTATTTTAATTTTTCAATAATACTTAGAGAATAAACCCAGAGACACAAAGGAAACATTTTTACTAATTGAGAGCAATTCCAGAAGGGCTCAGCAAGAGAATTGAGCCCTAATGTACTAAAAACAGCCATCCTATATAATAAAACCCTAATATGCAAATTAACCGAACGGCAGAACGACCGGTCGCGACACTCGCACTGACCACCAGGGGGGCAGATGCTCAATGCAGGAGCTGCCCCCCTAATGGTCAGTGGGCTCCCATAGGGGGAGCGCCGCTCAGCCAGAAGCCGGGCTCACGGCTGGTGAGTGCAGCAGTGGTGGCGGGAGCCTCTCCTGCCTCCGCTGCAGGTGGGTGGTAAGGAGCAAAGGGTCCTCCTGGACTGTGTGAGTCCCGGCCTGGACTGGGAGAGGGATGTCTGCCTACCGGCTTAGACCCGATCCCTGGTATAGCTCAGTGGTTGTGTTGACCCAGGAACCAAGAGGTTACCAGATAGATTCCTGGTCAGCATTTGATCCCCAGTAGGGGGTGTGCAGGAAGCAGCAGATCGATGATTCTCTCTCATGGGTATTTCTATCCCTCTCTCTTCCTCTCTCAAATCAATAAAAACACTTTTTTAAAAGGCGGGGGGAGGATAGTCTTTACTTATTTATATTTACCTTCACACTTCAAGGAGTGCAATGAACAAAATTATATCCAGCAATGCTAAATGCAGCTTAGTATTCCTGGCTGGCTAAGACAGTTCCTACTACTAGACGTTGGTCATTCCCAGTACTCACAGATTCTTTGAATAATCCATATGGACAGGTGCATGACACATTTTATAACTGGTAACTTTATTTTTTGAAATTTTTATTTATTGATTTGAGAGAGAGGAAGGGGGAGAGGGAGATTTTGTTGTTCCACCCATCCATGTATTCATTCATTGGTTGATTCTTGTATGTGCCCTGACCTGGGATGGAATCAGAAACCCTGGCACAAAGGGAGACACTCTCCCCAACTGAGTACCCTGCCAGGGCCAGAACTGATCGCTTTAATACACAAGGTTCAGAATGGCCTTAGAGAGGCCAAGGAAAATTAAGGTCTTTCTGAACAGCCAGGGTATGTAACATTTCTCCAACCTCCTTATTAGGGCGTGGGTTCAGTATTAAAACAACACATTTCCTCGGGGGGAGGAAATGGGAGGAGTAAGTTTCGCTTGTCAAGTTTCGCTTTTCAATCACCTCCCAGTTCTTGGAATTCTCTTTATTCCAGGATCCGACAGGTGGGGAACCCACCAGGCCTAGACCCCGGGACACCCTGGGCAATGTAGTTTCTGGGCGTAGCGACTCTGTCCCCACGCGTCCTCACCCATGAGAACCAGCAGGAAGGCCCCAGGTTTGGCCCCCTCTGCCGGAGCCTAGAGGAATTTCCTAGCCCGGACTCTCTGGATGCAAAGGCCTTAGTGACCCGCAAAACTACTTACTTCTTGCTCAGTTTTGACTCGCCGCCGTCCACATTCACCCCAGACTCCTGCACCGCAGCCATCTCTCCCGAGGCCCGAAGTGAAAGTAACGAGGCTGTACAGTGAAGTCCCAATCGAGGTCGGAAGCCCCGCCTCTTCCGGAGAGAAGGGGCGGGCACTCCTTGCGCGCTGCCGCCGCGCAGGCGCAGTGAGGGGTTTCGCAGCCGCGGCGTCCGGAGCGGTACCTCAGGTCCGTCCGTGGTGCTCAGTGCCTAGTTCTTCTCGTCCTCTGCGTCAGCTATGGCGGAGGCGATGGATGTGGGCAAAGACAACGGGCCCACTCATTCCTCGACTCTGTTCGTGAGGGAAGATGGCAGCTCCATATCCTTCTACGTGCGTCCCAGCCCGGCGAAACGCCGGCTCTCGACGCTCATCCTGCACGGCGGCGGCACCCTGTGCCGGGTGCAGGAGCCGGGGGCCGTGCTGCTGGCCCAGCCCGGGGAGGCGGCGGCCGAGGCCTCGGGCGACTTCATCTCCACGCAGTACATTCTAGACTGCGTGGAGCGCAACGAGAGGCTCGATTTGGAGGCCTATCGGCTGGGCCTGGCCCCGGCGGCCGACCCGGCAGCGGAGACGAAGAGCGGGGCTCCGGCCGAGCGCGCCGCCGTGGAGCCCGAGGGGCCGCCGCTCACGGGGCGGGTCGCCTTCACCGACGCGGACGACGTGGCCATCCTCACCTACGTGAAGGAACATGCCCGCTCGACCAGCTCCGTCACGGGCAACGCCTTGTGGAAAGCGATGGAGAAAAGCGCGCTCACTCCGCACTCGTGGCAGTCCCTGAAGGACCGTTACTTAAAGCACCTGCGGGGCCAGGAGCACAAGTACCTTTTGGGGGACGCCCCCGTGAGCCCGTCCTCCCAGAAACTCAAGCGGAAAGCGGAGGAAGACCCGGAGGCTGCCGACAGCGGGGGTGAGGCCTGGTGCGGCCGTGCGGGTCCCTCCGCCTGTCCTGGTGCTGGTGGGGGCGGGCCCTCCATCCCCGTCCCGTCTGGCGTCCTTTTTGGCGGCTTTGGTGTCATCGTCCGGCCCCTCCCCCCTTTGACATCCGGGTAAAATTACACCATTTTCTAATCTCTTCGATTTCCTTTTTTCAATAATTAGGATATTGCCACGGTTTAATATTCAAAGGGTGTAAAAAAAACCTATATCTAGAAAATGTTCTCTACTCACCAGTTAAGCTATCCAGTTTTCTTCCCCAGAGTATAAACTTTATCAGAGAGAGTTCAGAGAGTCGTCCTATTTTATTTTAATCATTTAGTTATTGCATTATAGGTGACATACAGTATTATGTTAGCTTCAGGTGTACAGCATGGTGATTAGGTATTTGTGTGCATCATGAAATGATCACCATGAATGTAGTTACCATACAAGGTTGCCGACTCTATTCTCTATGCCAGCGGTCTTCAACTGTGTGCTGCAGGAATTTTCACCAACGTGCAGTACCTGACTAGACAGAGGCACTGACCTCGTTTCCCTTAGATTGTCAAGTAATAAAATGACAGCAGCCAACACAACAGTAGCCCTCCAGTGTGAATGAATCAAAATTGTATCATTCTTTGGTAAGATGGGCAAAAACATATATATTTTGGTGTGCCGCCGAATTTTAGTAATCAGCTTATAGGTGCCATGAGATGGAAAAAGTTGAAAATCCCTGCCCTGTACTGTACATTACATCCTGGGACTTATAACTGGAAATGTGTACCTCTTAGTCCCCCTTACCTACTGTGCCTGCCCCCCACTCCCACCCCATTCCCCTGCCTTCTGGCAACCACCAGTTTGAGGACATATTTCTCCTGTGTTCAGGTAGATTCAGTATAAACCATTTTAAAGGCAAGCCAGATCAGTTTATTTTTCTGTTTTGGCTTAATTGAATGTGTATCCACATAAGAAGGTTCTTGGCTATTGGAAGTCGCTTCCTGGTCTCATGGGTGAAGTGAATTTTTTTAAAAAATATATTTTTATTGATTTCAGAGAGGAAGGAAGAGGAAAAGATAGAAACATCAATGATGCGAGGGACTCACTGATTGGCTGCCTCCTGCATGCTCCCCATTGGGGTCGAGCCCGCAACCCGGCATGTGCCGATGACTGGAATCAAACCTGGGACTCTTTAGTCTGCAGGTCCACGCTCTATCCATTAAGCCAAGAAGTGAGTTTTTAAGGCAGGTGAATTGAATGTTGAGACGCAGTAACCAAAAAAGAAAAACTAGTAGAAAAATGAGCAAAGGAAATGGAACAAAAAGTTTCCAGAAAAGGAAATAAATGCCCATAAACAATGGAGAAATATTGTTATTAAATAAAAATAAACTAGACCCTGAACAGAGGACCAAATAAGCCATGCCTGAACTTTCTGACCCATGGAAACTATGAAATAATAAGTGTGTGTATGTGTGTTTAAAGTAAACTAGAGCAAGGAAATGTCATACTTTATCAAACTGGCAAAATTAACAAAATGAGTAATATCCAAAGTTAGGGAGGTATATGCAAACAAATACACTCCTACACTGTTAATAGAAGAAAATTGATACAATTTCTTTGAAGGGCATTGTGTAAATTGCTTGTTCCCTTAACCTAGGCAATATTGCTTCTAGGAATTTATCCTACAGATATACAGAACACAAAAGGGTCAAATAGTGAAAAGTAAGTCTCCTTGCTATATACCCCTTCCCCTGTTCCTCTCCCAGAGGCAACCATTACTATTGTCCTTGTTATGTGTACTTTTTGCTAATGATAATACTAGTATATCCTAGAAACCAGTTCTGCCGTGTGTGTGTTTTTTTAACTTAATAATGATAGACCTTGAAGTCTTTGTGTCTGTGTTGCTTCAACTCATTATTTGCTTATTGATTACATTGTATTCCATTTTGGGAATGAACTATAATTTGTTCATTTTATTATAGAAAATTTCAAACGTTTATAAAAGTAGAATAGTATAATGGACTATACTGCATGTACCCATTGCCCAACTTCACGTGATTATAGTTCATGGTCAATTTTTTTACATTTATTTCTTTAAATCCAGACTTTTGAGATTATTTATTTATTTATTTATTTATTTATTTATTATGTCCTCACCTGAGGACATGCTTAGAGGAAGGGAGAAAGAGAGAAACATTAACCAGTTGCTGATTGCCTTCTGTACACTCTCTGACTAGGGATCAAACCAGCAACCCAGGTGTGTGCCCTGACTGGGAATAGAACTGGCAACCCTTCAGTGCATGGGACGATGCTCAACCAACTGAGCCACTCCAGCCAGGCAGACTTTTGGTATTATTTTGAAGTAAATGCCAAGCATCATGCATTTTATTTATTTCAGCATTATCTCCAAAAGATAAGGCTTTTTAAAAATTACTATTTAAAAATTTATATAAAAGAAAATTGACTTATTTTTGTATACAGTTTATGCATTTTTTTCAGTTTATGCATTTTTAAAATATATATTTTTTATTAATTTCAGAGAGGAGGGGACAGGAAGAGAGAGATAGAAACATCAATGGTGAGAGAGAACCATTGATTGGCTGCCTCCTGCACGTTCCACACTGGGGATCGAGCCCGCAACCTCGGCATGTGCCCTGACTGGGAATCAAACCATGGCCTCCTGGTTCATGGATTGACACTCAACCACTGAGCCACCCTGTCTGGGCAGTTTATGCATTTTCAAAATATATTTTTTATTGTGGTAAAATGCACATCACATAAAACTTACCATTTAGCTGGTTTTAATTGTTCAGTGGCATTAAGTACATTCATATCAGAACTTTTTGATATTCCAAAACTGAAACTCTGTATCCATTAAATACTCCCTGTTTCTCACTCCCCCAGCCCTGACAAGCACTGTTTTACTTTTTGTCTCTGAATTTAGTCTCTCTAGGTACTTTATATAAGTGGAGTCATACAATATTTGTCCTGGTTATTTCACTTAGAATAATGTATTGTGTCAGAATTTCATTTATTTTTAAGGCTAAATAATATTCCACTGTATATCTACACCACTTTTTGTTTATCCATCAATGGACATTTGGGTTTTTTCTGTCTCTTGGCTATTGTGAATAATGCTGCTATGGATATGGGTATAGTAAAATCTGTTTGAGACCCTGCTTTCATTTTTGGGGAGCAAAAACCCAGAAGTGGAATTGCTCATGCATTTGATAATTTTATGTGTAATAGTTTGAGGAACTGTTGGACCATTTCCCAGTTATGTGTTTTAACATGTATAGATTTGTGTAACCACCACCAAAAATCAGGATATAGAATAGTTCCATCACAAAAATAGTTCCATCTATCCTTTGTGTAGATAGTATGTGGTAGATTGTGGTATAGCCCCCAGATCTGCCTTCAGCAGCTGGGAGAGCTGCCTTGTCTAAAGTCCTATCATCTTAGAGCGGCTGGTATCCAGTGACTGATCTATATACAGTTTTAAAGTCTTGGCTCCCTTGCCCCAACTGGGTCAACTCTGAAGGACCTTCTAGCTTCAAATGAGGCCTTGTTGGCACTCTTTCACAACTCAATTTTTCTCTGTCTGTCCTGCTTTCTCCACTTCAATGGGTGTTTTCCCAGGCATGCTCTCTGATAAACACCTTATATAGTAACCTCCACCTCAGGATATGCTTCCCAGAGAACCCAGTTTATTTCAGTTTTGTTAATTTGAAAAATCCATTAATACAAGACAAAAAAATGCATTAAGCTTGAAGAGTATTTTTATTTTACATATAAGGACCTAGGAAAATTACCACCGTTTGGATAGTACAATTTTTCAGAAGCAAGAGCAGAAATTATTGAATATGCATGTCTTACGTTTTTCTTCTCCTTCTGATAAAAAAACAGATGTCTTCTAATGGAAAAAAAAGTACAGGCTCGCTTTTGGTCCAGAGCTCACAGAGCATGCACTATATTTTTGTTTTCTGTAAAAGAGGCTCATTCTAATCTAGTGCTGTTCTTCTCTGTAATAGAACCACAGAATAAGAGAACTCCCGACTTGCCTGAAGAAGAGGAGGAAGAGGAGGAAGAAGAGGAAGAAGAATTTGTAAAGGAAGAGATCAAGGAGAATGAAGAAGCAGTCAAAAAGATGCTTATAGAAGCCACCCGGGGGTTTGAGGAGGTTGTGGTATGTTAACTAGATTTAACTCATTTTTTTCTGTATCTGCATTCTTCTCCTTTGAAATTGGTCCTCCCATCTACCCTTTTTATATACCCAGTGCCCAGAAAGGTAAAAGAGAAGTTCAAGGTGGAAGAGGGAAATGGAAAGTGCGACTGTTCTAGGTTCTAGGCATGTAGTTTTTGCTTTTTGACAGGAAAGCATAAGGGGGATAAGTAGAAAAGTTGGGGCAAATTCCTTTTAAACAGTATAAAACATCCCATTTTTAGTACTTTGATCTCAGTATAAGTTTTTCAAAGTTAGCATTTTATAAAAAATTTTTTATGCTTCTCAGGAACATAAATATAATTTTAAAAAGAGTTTAATTTCTTAACCAAGCAAGTTGTTTTTTGTGTATTAAGAGCTTTTTAGGAAAATTTTAGTTCTTCCATATTCAGTCTCACTTCTAATACTCTGTTGAAATCCCATATTTAATCATCATTATAGAGTAAGGCAGGAGCCATAAAATAATGAGCAGAAATTGAAAAAACTCCAAATTATATGTGCATATCTTCTCTAAGAAAAAGGATATTTTATTTATTTTTAATACATGTTTTTATTGATTTCAGAAAGGAATGGAGAGGAAGAGAGAGATAGAGACATCACTGATGAGAGAGAGTCACTAATTGGCTGCCTCCACGCCCCACACTGGGGATTGAGCCTGCAATTTGGGCAATGTGCCATGATTGGGAATTGAACCATGACCTGGTTCATAGGTCGAAGCTCAACCATTTAGCCACACCGGCTGGGGGAAAAAGGGTCTTTTAAATGAACTTTTCTTATTAACACACAAAAAAGTGGTTAGGCCTCAGTCTAAATCAGGAAAATAATTTAAAGTTTCTCTAACTGGTGAGTGAAGGAATGCACAAGAATTGGCAGAATTCAGGGATTGTTTGCCTTGTGTAATCTGAGTTTTGTTTTATTATTTGATATTACATAGGCTAATTTTCCATAAACTTCCAAATGCTCTCAACAGCTCCCAAACATGGCCTACATAGGTCTCTTCTCACATGACATATTTTATAATGTGGCTAAATGTAGTATAGTTTAGAGGCCCTAATACAGCAATGTTTTGTGTGTGTGTGTGTGTGTGTGTGTTTTGTTTTTATATTGATTTCAGAGAAGAAGGGAGGGGGAGAGACAGCTAGAAACACGAATGATGAGAGAGAATCAGTTGGCTGCCTCCTGCACCATCCCCACTGGGGGGTTGAGCCCACAACCTGGGTATGTGTCCTTGACCAGAATTGAACCTAGGACCCTTTAGTCTGCAGGCTGACGCTCTATCCACCGAGCCAAACCAGCTGGACCTACAGCAATGTTTTTTTACTACTTATGTGCAGCCATTGATATGTAGTGGGGATGGATTAATGATAAGCAATACAGATACAATTTTTCTCCTTATAGAGCTTATAATTTGGGAATGAAGTCACTTTTAACAAATAATGTAATACTGCCCTATCTGGTTTGGCTCAATGGATAGAACATCGGCCTGCAGACTGAAGGGTCCCAGGTTTGATTCCGGTGAAGGGCACATGCCTGTTTGCGGGCTGGATCCCCAGTGGGGGTGTACAGAAAACAGCTGATCAATGATTCTCTCTCATCATTGATGTTTTTCTCTCTCCCTTCCTCTCTGAAATCAATAAAAAATATATAAAACAAACAAAAAGAACAGTATTCTTAAAAACAAAACAAAAAATACCTCAAGTAATCTACTGCAAAAATATACACATTTGTATGCATATACGTATATTTTTTTCATGTTCAGTGTAGCTTCTAATGTTCTTTTGGGATACCATAGATAATTATACATATACATACATACAGATGCACGTTTGTACACACACACACCCCACCTGCACACACATTTTTCTGAGCCTGCTATCACATATGTACATACATACATACATACATATATATACATACACAGGCACACATTCAAGACAAATAAATGTAAGAAGGAACATGGCATATTAAAGAAACTGGAGGAAGTCCAGTGTGATTAGAGTGAAAAGTGCAAGGAGAAGGTAATTGGGAGAGACCAGATATTGCAAGACTAAGTGTAACTGGGTAATTAGACTCGTTTTATTTATCACTTTCTGTAGGTGGAGGAAAGCCCTGATTTTGAAATACACATAACAATGTGTGATGATGATCCACCCACACCTGAAGAAGACTCAGAAACACAGCCTGATGAGGAAGAAGAAGGAAAAGTTTCTCCACCAGAAGTGGGAGCTGCAATTAAGATCATCCGGCAGTTAATGGAAAAGTTTAACTTGGATCTGTCAACAGTTACACAGGCCTTCCTAAAAAATAGTGGTGAGGTGGAGGCTACCACCTCCTTTTTAGAGTCTGGTCAGAGGGCTGATGGGTATCCCATTTGGTCCCGACAGGATGACTTAGATTTGCAAAAGGGTGATGAGGATGCCCGAGATACATTGGTTAAAAAATTTGGTGCTCAGAATGTAGCTCGGAGAATTGAATTCCGAAAGAAATAATTGACAGGATAACAAGAAAAGAAAAGAGGTGTGGCAGATGAGGTGGTATTTTGTGACCATTGAACTTCAGAGATTTTTATGTTGGAACTGACACATCTTCTGACCAAATGCTGTCATTGCTCTGTGAGTCCAAGATTTTATAGCCACGCAGAGTTGTGTAGGACAAAAATAAAAGATATTGGATATATTTAGAGCTGTCCCTGGCAGTATCAGTGTTTCTTGAAGGAAAATATAAACCAGAGAGAGGTTGGTCTACATAGTAATCTTTTTTTTGGAATGGAACCTGTATCTTATTGTACAGGAGTTAATAACCCAGTCAAAGGAAGAAAATTGGAAGACAGGTCTTTTCAGGCAGTGTGAATAAAGAGCCTCCTGTCCTTTGGCAGAAGCGCCTCTAGATTGTGATAGATTCTAAGTCAAGAATTTAGAAATATGGAAAGATTTCATTACAAGGCCTTGAACATGGATTACCCCAAACCTTTGCATCCCTCAGTGAGCTCTGATTTCTAAGATCATCCGACAGTTAATGGAAAATTTAACTTGGATCTGTCAACTACTTTGAAAACCCCATGTTTCCTTTGCTAACTTAATATTTGGGGACCCTGCTCCTTGGCTGTTCTTTGAGTTCTTGTCAGTCAAGCATCTAACATTCTTTACCTATCACCCAGTTTTGTTTAGAGAGTCTCAAGAATAGTCTTACTTGGTTACTAGTAATAATGTGTTTCTATTTGTTGAGGATAATTTTGTGATAAGCTTGTGTTAGAGTTAAAAATTAGTGAATTAATTCCTCTTCGTTGTGTTGCTTTTGTTATTGAAAATAAATGGAACTTTGTATTTGAGTGTCCAATAGTGTTTGATTGTATTCACAAAAATTTTTAGGTATAAAAACCATAAAGGAACTGACCTTTTTGCTTATTATTTAGATAATAAAGTACTTCCATTTTAGAACTATTAGGTCATGAGCAAAATGGATGGAGCAAAGAGATCTGTGCTAAGACTGTGAAAGATGGCAAAATAGTGTGAACTGCTGAGAGCCAAAGGGGAGAGAAGCCAATCTGAAACAATCAGGAACTATCAGGTGTGTAGCAGGAGGTATGAGTATCTTACCCATATCCCCATGCCCACAACACAGAGTAGAACTTTTATTTGGGTTTCCAGGTGATTTCTCCTGCCCATTCATTAGTCTGGCCCTGAACAGGATGAGTTCATAGTTTATCATCCTTTATTTATTTTATTATTTTAAAAAATATATTTTTATTGATTTCAGAGGAAGGGAGAGGGAGAGAGAGAAATACCATTGATGAGAGAGAATCATTGATTGGCTGCCTCCTGCACGCCCCCTACTAGGGATTGAGCCTACAACCCTGGGCATGTGCCCTTGGCCGGAATCGAGCCCAGGACCCTTTGGTCTGCAGGCTGATGCTCTATCTACTGAGCCAAACCAGCTAGGGCTTGTTTATCGTCCTTTAAATTGCACTGATCCTGCCTCCAAAGAAAGGAGGCCTGGACCAGTTTCCATGAGAATGATGTTGTCTTCCTCCTCCTGAAAGTGAGCTTTACATTACGTGGAAAAGAGCCTGAAATTGTTCACTGAGGCGCAACTGGAATCCTTGAGTGTCCTTTTCATGTGGAAACAGTACTCAGAAAAGTTTGTACCTTTTCCTGAAAATTTGGGGATTGCAGGAGTTGACCTAAACTAGTGATAGCTAACCTTTTGAGCTCCGCGTATCAGCATTTTGAAAAACCCTAACTTAACTCTGGTGCTGTGTCACATATAGAAATTTTTTTATCTTTGCAACCATAGTAAAACAAAGACTTACATTTTTGATATTTATTTTATATATTTACATGCCATTTAACAAAGAAAAATCAACCAAAAAAATGAGTTCGCGTGTCATAGGTTCGCCATCATTGACCTAAAGACTTGAGGTTTTACCCTAGCTTGTTTGACTCAGTAGATAAAATGTCTGCCCTTGGAGTGAAGGGTCCCAGGTTTAATACCGGTCAAGGGCTGGTACTTCATATCTTGGTTGCAGGCTCAATCCCCAGCCCTGGTTGGGGTGTGTATGGGAGGCAACCAATCGATGTGTCTTTCTCTCTCTGTCTCTTCCTCTCCCTTCCACTGTCTCTAAAAATCAATGGAAAAATATCCTTGGGTGAGGAATAACAAAAAAGTAAAGTTAAAAAAAGGCTTGAGGTTTCTAAATATTGTTGGTGCAATTAGCCGAGGGAATAAGATGGGTCTCCAGCTGAGCTATGTGTTGTGTGGCTCAGTGTGTCCCTTCCCGAGGGTCCCATTCTGCAATCAAAGCCTGGCACCACTCATCCCACCATTTCCCAATGTAAGATATGTCCATCTGATCCAGATCCTGTAATTGGTGTTTTTTGTGGTCAGGATGAGGCTGAGAATAGTCCTTCAACTGTAGTGTTCCTGTGGTAGTCTGTTCTTCATGATTCTGGCAATTTTCTTGGTTTTGGAGCCAGAAAGGATTGTGAGCATTGGAGAGGCCCCCTCCTGGAGTCAGCAGTATTGGCAGGTAGTTTATAAGTGTCCACGTAGAGGGAGAGTTCTCTCCTCCCTGCCCAGCCTGCATGGGCTGCACCATCATGACAATTGGTCCTTGGGTCACAGAAGGGACAGAGGACACATGGGATGGGAGTAGAGCAGGTAGAGATGTTTGGTTATTGCTGAAAACATTGGAGGAAGGAAAATGAGACCCGCATGAGAGCATGGGCAGGTTGATTTGGTGCTGCTGAAGTATCAGATCTCGTGTCCCATTTGGGCCCTCTACCAAGGAATTCACAGGCTTACTTCTGCTCTGCCCTGGGTGAGGAGATCTTTGGTTCTGAAACCGCATGTATGGAAGGAGAAGGGGAGACATGGACAAAAGTTAAGCAATTCTGGCATCACTTCTCAAACTGTGTAAAGCAAAGGCAATATTAACATAGGCCCTAATATCAGGATGAATATATATATATACTAGAGGCCCGGTGCACAAAAATTTGCACTTGGGGGTAGGGGGTCCCTCAGCCAGGCCTGTACCCTTTCGCAGTCTGGGACCCCTCGGGGGTGACCACTTGCTGGCTTAGGCCTGCTCCCCAGGGGATTGGGCCTAAGATGGCAATCAGACATCCCTCTGCCAGCCCGGCAGCCCTCGGGGGATGTCCACTTGCCAGTGGGGAGCAGACCTAAGCTGCAGTCAGACATCCTTAGCGCTGCTGAGGAGGCAGGAGAGGCTCCTACCACCACTGCTGTACTGGCAGCCGTCAGCCTGGCTTGTGGCTGAGCAGAGCTCCCCCCTGTGAGAGTGCACTGACCACCAGAGGGCAGCTCCTACATTGAGCATCTGCCCCCTGGTGGTGTGTGTGTGTCATAGTGAACAGACATTCCCAGTCTTTCTGCTGTTAGGGTCAGTTTGCATATTACCCTTTTACTATATAGGATTGAGGACTGGTGCATGGGAGGGGGCCGGCTGGTTTGCCCTGAAGGGTGTCCAGGATCAGGGTGGGGGTCCCACTTGGGTGCCTGGCCAGCCTGGATGACGGGCTGATGGCTGTTTGCAGCTGTTCACACCCCCTTCAGGGTGCGGGTCCCCACTGGGGTGCCTGGCCAGTCTGGGTGAGGGGCTGAGGGCCGTTTTCAGGCTGGCGGGTGACTGAATCCCCTAGCCTCTTTTTTTATTTCTCCTGGGATTTATTTACTTTCTATAGCTGTCACTGGAGCTGAGAGCCGGCTCCAGCTCTGAGGCTGTTGCCGGCTGAAAGCAGGTATCTGGGTTTGTTTAGATTCTATAATTGAAACTCTGTTGCCATCACTGGCGCTCTAAACTCTGAGCCCGCTGCCCACTGAAAGCAGGTATCTGGAGCTTGTTTAGCTTCTACAATTGCAACATTGTTGCATCCGGAGCTCAGAGCTGGGCCGCGCATGTGGGGAACCTTGGCTTCCTCCACCACTGGAGCAAGCAAGCCTCATGTTCACTTCAGCTGCCTGGCTGCTGGCCGCCATCTTGGCTGACAGTTAATTTGCATATCTTGCTGATTAGCCAATGGGAAGGGTAGCGAGTTACGATTAATTACCATGTTTCTCTATTATTAGATAGGATATATCTAATTTCCTATTCACACACACACACACACATACGTGAAATGTGTTCAGTATGTGTGTGTGTATGCATATGCATGTGTATATACACAAACACACATAAATTAAGGTCATAGCATACTCAGCAACAGATGAATTGAAACTGGCTGAAAAGGCATATGCTCTAGAATCTTCCCTTTAATTACAACATTTTCCCACATTTTTGTTGATCTTATTTTTAAAAATTATTTGAAACATATTTTTATTGGTTTCAGACAGGAAGGAAGAGGGAGAGAAACACTAATGATAAGAGAGAATCATTGATCAGCTGCCTCTTGCACTCCCCACACTGGAGATTGAGCCTGCATCCCGGGCATGTGCCCTGACTGGGAATTGAACTGTGACCTTCTGGTTTTTGGTTGATGCTCAACCACTGAGCCACGTCAGCCAGATTGCCGGTGATTTTAAATGGACACACCACCGACAATATGCTGCAAAAATGCTTCCTTTTGTAGGAATCTGACTTACAATGCCAGGTCTTTACCATCCATTATCTTTGTCCCTTGATGACTGATAACTCAAGATAGGGCAACCCTTTTCCAGCAGTCTTTGAGGGGCAATATCATAGGAGGTATTTAGTGCCACAGACATAGAACTTACTTGAATTCTTGATTCCTGAATGCCTGTTTGTTCAGCCAACATTTTCCCGGTTGCAGTATTAGGTAATTGGTTTCTGTCAAAGCCTTGAACTAGGATGTTTGATTGAGAACTTGTGATGGATGTCTGACCTTTTCTGGCAGCTTCTAGGACAGTTTTCACATTTGATCTGGAAACTCAAGTTTGAGAAGACCATGTTGACTATACTTACTCTCTCTGAATTCCCCTGAGGTGACACCAGGCTTAGAGGAGCAGGGCCAAAAGGCCCATAGATTTGCTTGCTGAGAACTTGCCTGTCCCAGCCAACTGCCGGACCATGCTTATATTTCTGACTCTAGGGTTCCTAGAACAAGCTGTAACTAGGTCCTAAGATAAGGACATTTTGTGGAGAATTTGAACACAACATGCGGAATTGTTTTTGCTCTCAATGGGACCCACTGAAGAAATTCCTTTGGATCTCTGGATTCTTACCTTGAGTCCAAGGCTGATGCTGGTGTTGCTCCTGAGTGTGGTCTTTTCCTGAGGACGGTTCAATTCCCAATGTTCTCAGTTTTGCTCTGTGGTTTTTAAACCAAGTCTAAGTAGGAAAAGACATGAAATTCATGTAACCCAATCCATGTCACTGCAAATATCAATGCAGTTAAAATGATTTGATCAACTGCCATTGGGATAATAATCATAAGAAGAAGGTGATGTATTATCCTAGGAATGATGTAACTATTAGCATACAATTCAGGCAGCACACAATCTCAACTCAAATTAACATTTCCTTTATGGTCATCCTCATAGTATCCAAAGTAGATCTCCCTGATTTAAAAGACACTGTTAGTTCTCTCAAAGGAGATCAGTATTTCTCTCCCCCGATCTCTTGCTCTTACAGCAGGTCTTCAATGTTTAAATGTCTTCTTGGCCCCCATCATCTCTTCATAAGAAATACTCAATACATATGGATGTGATCTTAGAAAATAATTTAACTGGGGAATAGAATTAGCTATAGTTAAGAGCTGGACTAACACATGTCCACATTTCCTCTTACTTATTTTATCCCATACTCAGCAATAGGTAAGGAGACTCCTAGAGACTCTGTTCACCTCACTGTGAAACTACTGTCACTAACATAAAAAGTGACCTCTTGCCCAGCTGGTATGGCTCCATGGTTGAGCATCAACCCATGAACCAAGAAGTCGCTCATCAGGCCACATGCCCAGGTTGCAGGCTCAATCCCCAATAGGGGAAGTGCAGGGGACAGATAATGGATCATGTCTCTATCAACCCTTCCCCCTTTTTCTCTTTCTAAAATCAATAAAAACATTCTTTTAAAAAGGTGAACTCTTTGCTCAGTTCTTTTTTTAAAAATAAATCTTTATTGTTCAGATTATTACAATTGTTCCTCTTTTCCCCCCCATAGCTCCCCTCCACCCAGTTCTCACCCCACCCTCTGCCCTTACCCCCCCACTGTCCTCATCCATAGGTGTACGATTTTTGCCCAGTCTCTTCCCACATCCCCCACACGCCTTTCCTGCCGAGAATTGTCAGTCCACTCCCTTTCTATGCACCTGATTCTATTATATTCACCAGTTTACTCTGTTCATCAGATTTTTTATTCACTTGATTTTTAGATTCACTTGTTGATAAATATGTATTTGCTGTTCATAATTTTTATCTTTACCTTTTTCTTCCTCTTCTTAAAGAATATCTTCCAGCATTTCATATAATACTGGTTTGGTGGTGATGAACTCCTTTAGCTTTTTCTTATCAGTGAAGCTCTTTATCTGACCTTCAATTCTGAATGATAGCTTTGCTGGATAAAGCAATCTTGGTTGTAGGTTCCTGCTATTCATCACTTTGAATATTTCTTGCCACTCCTTTCTGGCCTGCATAGTTTCTGTTGAGAAATCAGCTGACAATTGTATGGGAACTCCCTTGTAGGTAACTGACTTTTTTTCTCTTGCTTTTAAGATTTTCTCTTTGTCTTTTGCTCTTGGCATTTTTATTATGATGTGTCTTGGTGTGGTCCTCTTTGGATTCCTTTTGTTTGGGGTTCTCTGCGCTTCCTGGACTTATAAGTCTATTTCTTTCACCAGGTAGGGGAAGTTTTCTGTCTTTATTTCTTTAAATAGGTTTTCAATATCTTGCTCTCTGTCTTTTTCTGGCACCCCTGTAATTCAATATTGGGACACTTGAAGTTGTCCCAGAGGCTCCTTACACTATCTTCATATTTTTGGATTCTTTTTTCTTTTTGCTTTTCCAGTTGGGTGTTTTTTACTTCTTCATATTTCAAATCTTTGACTTGATTCTTGGGATCCTCTTGTCTGCTGTTGAATCTCTGTATATTATTCTTTATTTCAGTCAGTGTATGCTTAATTTCTAGTTGGTCCTTTTTCATATACTTGAGGGTCACACTAAATTTATCGGTGGTTTCTAGAAAATTCTTGAAAAACCTTATAACCGTGGTTATATCCAGTCGTTTGCTTTCCTCCATTTCTGTCATTTGTGATCCGTTTCTTTGTCTCCGCATTTTTTATGCTTCCCTGTGTTGATAGAGTGGCTTTCTGTGCTAGGTGTCCTATAGGGCCCAGTGGCTCAGCCTCCCCAATTACCTGAGGTGGACACTCTTAGTGCACCCCTTTGTGGGCTGTGTGCACAGTCTTGTTGTAGTTAAGCCTTGATTGTTGTAGGTATCACTCACTGGGAGGAATTGACCTCCAGGCCAATTGGCTGTGAGAATCAGCTGTGTCTATAGTGGGAGAACTTCTGTGCTGGAGACACCCTTCTGGGGCAAGACTTGCTTCAGTGGGGCTTTGGTGCTCACTGAGTCTACCCCCTGAGTGTGTCCCTTATGGACCTAGGAGTTGTAATCTGGATGGTCCCAATCTGACCACTGGGTACTCATGCTCTTGGATCTCTAAGGAGGTGCTAATTTAGCCTCTGCCTGAGGCTACCCAGTAGGAGCTACAGAGAGATCTGCAGGTTCCTCTTCCTTGTTTGGGTTTTGGAGGTGCCCAGATGAGGCCCAGCTGTGAAGCAATGCAAGCTGCTGTGGGGCCTTGGGCCTTCTTTTGGATGTTCTGAGTCTTTCTGACCCAGCTGCAGTTTGTTAGGTAATTTTAGATCTCAAAGAGCCAGCCCATTCATATGCAAACGCCTCTGCGCACAGCTTGGGTGGGGCGGGGTCTCAGGGAATCAACAGGGCGGAGCAAAC